TGATTTTCTGGTACTTTTATATCTTAGCTTCATTCACTGCTACATTGTTTTTGCACCTGTTGGTTTCAGCACATTTCATGTATAAATATTATGTTTTAATGTGAAGAATGTTCAGGATACAGCAATGACTTGGAACAGTCATGGTTTTGTGTTAAATATATATTTAGAAACGTTTCATACACATCATATGTAAAGATTAACTGGGGAGAAACGGAAACCGTTGTTCAACGATCCTTTGGATGGTGTTTGATAAAGACTTATTATAGATTCAAGCTTAACCCTGGGCTGACTTGACTCAAAGATAAGTTGTTTATATCAAAGCTTCTGAAAATTGCAGAGCTGAATAAGTTCAGTCAGGATATCGGCTCTTTGCAGAGACAAAGTTAAGATCGCTTCCTGCAGGACGCAGATCTGGGCTCTAGATCAGGCGTCTTCAATGTTTTCCAGGCCAAGGGCCCCCAAAGTGATGGTAAGATGGAGTATATATGTATTCTATGAAATAGTGTTCTATCAGTGCCAGTGCCCCTGTAGATCATGTCCAGGCCCCTGTTATGGCCCCTGTACTGAAGATATAATACTAATAACTAGGGATGCACAATAAAATCGGCCCCCTATCGGTATCGGCCTTAAAACTGAATATCGGACATCGGCCCCCCCACCGATATTTAACCCGATATTTGATCAGCTTCTGAGTTTCTAAAGTCTAAAAAAATAAAAATAAAAAATACTACTTCTTCTTCTTCCTCAAAAACTTCTTTTTTACAGACTTTAAAAAAAGGGAAAAAATATTGATCCATTAAAATATCCCAATATCTTCCTATGCTGATATATTGCCATTTAAAAACACCATATCAATCTCTTTTACTAATGAAATATTGCTATATGTCATCGTTATGCTACGAAATCCCCCGAAAATTCACCAAATGTTGCCATATTTTTATATGTTGATATATTGACGCGGTATCGATCTATTTTACTAACAAAATCTCACAAGAATTTGCAAAATATCACGAGAGTTTGTAACAGAACGATGAAATTTCACCAGATTTTGAAAGTAAAATAGATCGATACCGCGGTTTTAAAAAACAATTTGACATCAGCGTATGAAAATATATTTGAGTATATTATTTCTCAAAGTGTCAGAAATGGAGAACAAAACTGCTATTTTCAATGACTACTTATTTTTGTCCAGCTTTAACATCGGTATCGATATCGGTTATCGGCTACATGAGTTTTAAAATATCGGCATATTGGATATCGGACAAAATCCCAATATCCTGCATCCCTACTAATAACTAAAATGATTACTTTAGTTACATTACTCCTGTAACAGAGTGACTATAGGACCAGTTTGATAGAACACTATTTTATAGAAAATATATAATTAGGGGGTCCCCACTCCATCGCCATCAGTTTGGGGCCCTTGGCCTGAAAAATGTTGAAGACCTCTGATCTAGAGAAGCGTTTCTGCCCTCAGATCCTCCCTTATTTGCACCAATCCAACGAACATTTTATAACAATTTGTAAATAGACATATTAACAACAAATATTTCTATTTTCTGATTGTACATAGAGTATATCGACTAAAACAGCTGAATGGAGAGCAAAGCGTCACCAAGTCAAATAGTTTTCTTTCTATCCGATTAGGAGTTACCTCCGGTCTCCTGGCTGCTTCTCTGGTTGCATCTCATCAGATTCAGTATTTTCATTTCCATAAGATGGATAGAAAATGCTCTGTGAAATGTTCAAAGCCTGGGATATTGTTCATAACTGAATCCTACTTTATTCTTCTCCACAACCCGTCTGCTGCGTTCCCTCATGATGCTGTTTGTTCACGAACAAAGCCTTCATAGAACAGCTGGATTTACAATAGAACAGAATCACTTTATTTACTCTGGAGGAGTAATTAAATAGGCAAAGAGCAGCCGTAAATAGATATAGAAGGAATTTCTAACAAAAAGCAGCAATTAAAACAAGAAGCAAACAACAGATCTGATGATAATATGATGATGCTTCAGATTTTCTTATTCGAAATATGGTCTCTAAACTCCTTAGAGCCAGAGAAAGAATATGATTTATGCAGAGATTAGATTACAGGCCATCAAAAGTGGTATCTGACAAAAGACTGAACACATGAGGGAACCAGGCTCCTATTTGAGTTTTCTGCCATTTTTTTTGGAGGGTTAAGCACAACTTTTAAGTCTTTGTATCAGTTTATACAACAATTTAAAGATTAAATTTATGATAATACCATTGTATGTATGCGACTGTCCCCTAAAAGATTAGATAGAAATTAGCAGATATAAAATTGCAGAAAAAAACTGACACAGTTATAGGGGTGTGAATGTTTCTGTGAGGCATTAATAAAAAAAACATAAACTCGAAAAGAAATGTTTCCCCTAAATGCACTATGGAGACATTTCTCTTATCCTACGTTCACACCGGACGCAGCAAAAGCAGCAAAATCGCGTCTGCTGCTTCCTTTTTGCTGCTTGTACCAGTTAGTTCTGACGCGCGGCTGAAGCAGCTTTGCTGCTCTGGCTGCGCGGTGCAAAAGTGTTTCTGACGCGCGTTGGGCAGAGCTACTCTATCATTTCTCTGCCTTGCAGCTATATTTGCTGTGATCAGTGGGAATAAAGTAGTTTTAATATGTTTTTAAGTGAGAAAATACACCTGAAAACATAATCAGTGCAGTCAGTTCATCCAGATTATCATCCTGCCTATACTATTTCTGTCAGAGCCGCTCAGACCCCCACATACCAGCGGTGCGCTGTCAGTAGGAATCCCATTCAACAGCAGCCTCTGGCCGGGTCGCCTCCTCGCATTTCGCCGCGGCAGCTGGTAGGTGTTTTTCATGTACATAATCCAAACTGCAGGCACCAGGATAATAAAAGCGAAGATATTCTGTCGGCAGATTTCTGCATTTGAAGTTAATTTAGGCGTTAATAAACTGTTTCAGAGGAGTGATCACAGCACTCTCCATCAGCAGTGCTGCGTCTGACTCCCTGCCAGCTCCCAGATCAGCTTCTCTGATTGGTTGATGCGGCGCGTCCAGCAGCTAAAGTTACATTTTTCCATCTCGAGCAGCAGCGCGTTTGCTGCGCGTCAGATGCTTAAACGCTCCCGGCGCGCTGCTTCAGCTGCTCAGATGCGCTGCGGGACATTTTGCTGCGCCTTGATGCGCGTCAACCATTGACTTTGCATATAAACTAGCTGCTTCTGCTGCGTCTGCTGCATTTAGTGTGAACACATTATTAAAGGAAAAGTCGCTCATATTCAGAATTCAAGCTTCTGAAAGTTCTTTAAATCTGAAATGATTCCATCCTGTTCAATAAATGATCAGTGTTTTTAATTCAGAGTAATTTCCATGTGAATGTGCTTTACTGGAGGCATCCATGTTTGTCAAAGAACACTACTGCCACCTACTGGTTAGTGACGTCACGGTGCGGTATCGGCTGTTGATCAAGTCCCAGTGCTGTATCTGGTGTTTGTCACAACGCGCTATTATCCAAGTCATCTTGAAAACATTCTTCTTCCAAATGTTAGCTACATATTACGGGTTTTTTCTCTGGCCAGAAGTTCGATGGCAAATCCTCCCTCTTCAAGTTGGCGATCCAACGACCAACCCGTCCGTGGAGGATCAGGAATCAGAAAGGTGGAATAACTCTTTTTTTTTCACTTTTACCCGATGTATTCCAGCATCCAGCTGCCATGCACGTGGGCATTGTCAGTTTCACTCTCGGGGGCCCCTATCCAGCAGTAAAATGGAGGTATCGGTATCAGTGAGTACCAACCAATAGGGCACCGATACCATTTTGAGAGCCAAAAGTTTCTTCAACTATTGTCACCCAATACAGGTAGGCAATAAAAAGTTCTACTGGATTCACTTTGTTTTAGTCTTTTTTCTCCTTCACAATAATTTTACATCCAAGTAGTCTGCAGTTCTTCATATATACACACATCAATTTCAAACAGATGGTATCGGTATTGGCCAATACTGCACAGCCAGGTATCGGGGCCAAAGAAGGCATCGGCGCATCACTAGTATTTAGTCCTTACGATAAAACTGTATTTTATAATTAATAAGACAGACATAGTGAGTGCATGAGGGGGGATACGTAGATAAATTAAAAAGTGGATTCAAGAGGGAGTTTATTTAAAAGTAAAACTAATAGAGCAAAGTCTGACCCCTATTATCTTTGAGCAAATTGGATCAGATTGATCTTTAAACGAGGGGGCTCGTCTGTGTTCCTTTGACCTGAAAAAACAAAATGTGCCAATTATCATTTGTATTTAGGACACGTCTGCTTGTTTGCTTGTGAAGAGGCAATACTTTCCCACATCTCAGCCCTGAAACTGGAGCAACTAACTCTGTCATTATCACATGTATTATTCACACCGCACCTTTACTGTTGTCACATATTTTATTAGTTAAAAAATAGGCTCTAATGTGCTCTTTTTGAATATATTTATGTCGGAAATATTCTGCTGGAATTAACCGTCTCTTTTTAAGAGAGACAGATTCTTGCAGTGAAGTAGAATATCAAATGGAGAAAAAAAATACCATTTAAATATTCCACTGCATTACGATTATGTGCCGTTTAAAGCTTGAAACATCCTTCATTCAATAGATGTCTTGAGAGGCCTTTAACAGAAGGAAAATTACACCACAACCCAAAGCGTTTAGCTTTATATTGCAGCAGCCTCTGGAGAGCTGCTTACTGATAACAATCCCTGAGCAAAAGTCACAGCAGATGCCACATTATGCAGGCTGTGAAAGAAGAAAAAACAGCCCAGAACAGACACCAATTAAACATGCAAACGCCACAAGAAGCCAAATGCAGTCAGCAGATTTAACAAAGCGGCTGTGATATCAATACTGAGCAAAAGCTTTGTGCACTCAGCGCTGAATCATTTCTGGATTCTTTTGGGAGTTTGAGCCAAAGAAGATGGCGTTTAGTGTGCGGCTGAAAGAGACACGGACTGGACGGAATCACAACCTGCAGTAAATGAAGCAATCTCCCCCCCGCGGCCGTCTCGCCGTCATCCTCGCAGTCCTGCAGGAAGCTGTGCTTGTCCTCGCAGTAAATCCTACAAACAACAGAGATCCCGACAGCTTGGCGTTAGGTGGGGGAGTGTTCAGACGTCCCGGTCAGAGAGTGTGACGCCGTGACCGCCGGCAGCCTCTTCACAGAGAAAAAAAAAAGTTTGTTAAACGGCCTAAATGTCAACATCTCGGCCCAGTGAGTGATGAGCACCCGGGCAGCGCGGCGGCAGCTCCACGCTGACCTCAGTAGACAATGTTAAGAAAAGAATGTGCACGGACACATGCGTCAGAAAACACACACCATTTAGCAGGAAGTGTTAAGAAGGCCTCGTTTGCTCTGCTGCTTTTTGACCATTTAATGCAGTGATGCTCCCTTTAGAGTAACTTATCTCACTTTCCTCTCCACTAATGAGTCAAACTGTATCGCTAACACAAGGATGGAGGCCTGGTTTCAATCTGTTCAGTACGAACACGGATTCAGGAGGTGATTTGCATCGGCTCCTGCGAGGTTCAGGGGTTTCGCCGTTGCCATGGGGGATCGTATCTGCATGCAAAAGCTACAGCGGCGAGGAAAATATCGTATGATTGATAAGATCGGACAGACTGTACACAAACTATAACGAGCCCTGATGTGAGCTGACAAGTTTCTGTGGCACATAATCAAAACCCTGTGAGCTGGTGGCTGGGCCGGCTCTGCTACTGGAGGATATGTATAAGGAAGTTTTCCCTTCTGTCAGATTGGCTTCGTTTTTGCTTCTTTTATTGTTAATGGTGCTTTATAAACTGTGAAGAAAAGTTATTTAGACAAAGTAAACCAGATCAAACCAGATTAATGAAAAAAAAATCTATTCATCTGACAAAATTAATTTACAGAGACACAAATTTTAACCAATATAAACTGTTTATATGAGACACATTGAAGGGCCTTTGAGCATTAACTAAACCATACAGAAGGCTCTGCTCTTCTGCATAAAACTATTTAAAATTCACAAACTAATTACTGGCTGCTCAGGATTTCCTCCAGAGTGAAGAAATGATGGCTCTATTAATTATTTTAAGTCTCTCATTAGATAAAAACAGAATACAGAGCTTCATATGTATTTTTGGAGTTTCTTTAAGGCCTCCTGGATGAATCGTCTGTTTTGTTGATTGTGAAGGAAACCAGAACAAACTGCAATCAAATTGGGATTTAAAGACAACTCCTAAACAGTTTTAAGATCTAACACTTTGAGAAATATAGATTCACAAAGGGCTGAGATAGTTTAGAAAAAAGAAAATCATTGCTCAAAATGGCAGTTTGTGTTAACTTGAGTTCTTCTTCCCAATTAGCCTGATATTAAACATTATTTAATGATATAAATGGTTCGTGCTGCTTTCACTCTTATTTCAATTCTGCTAAGCAGATTATTTCTTTTATGCACAAATATATACACTCACCGGCCACTTTATTAGGTACCCCATGCTAGTAACGGGTTGGACCCCCTTTTGCCTTCAGAACTGCCTCAATTCTTGGTGGCATAGATTCAACAAGGTGCTGGAAGCATTCCTCAGGGAGTTTGGTCCATATTGACATGATGGCATCACACAGTTGCCGCAGATTTGTCTGCTGCACATCCATGATGCGAATCTCCCGTTCCACCACATCCCAAAGATGGATTGAGATCTGGTGACTGTGGAGGCCATTTGAGTACAGTGAACTCATTGTCATGTTCAAGAAACCAGTCTGAGATGATTCCAGCTTTATGACATGGCGCATTATCCTGCTGAAAGTAGCCATCAGAAGTTGGGTACATTGTGGTCATAAAGGGATGGACATGGTCAGCAACAATACTCAGGTAGGCTGTGGCGTTGCAACGATGCTCAATTGGTACCAAGGGGCCCAAAGAGTGCCAAGAAAATATTCCCCACACCATGACACCACCACCACCAGCCTGAACCGTTGATACAAGGCAGGATGGATCCATGCTTTCATGTTGTAGACGCCAAATTCTGACCCTACCATCCGAATGTCGCAGCAGAAATCGAGACTCATCAGACCAGGCAACGTTTTTCCAATCTTCTATTGTCCAATTTCCATGAGCTTGTGCAAATTGTAGCCTCAGTTTCCTGTTCTTAGCTGAAAGGAGTGGCACCCGGTGTGGTCTTCTGCTGCTGTAGCCCATCTGCCTCAAAGTTCCACGTACTGTGTGTTCAGAGATGCTCTTCTGCCCACCTTGGTTGTAACGGGTGGTTATTTGAGTCACTGTTGCCCTTCTATCAGCTCCAACCAGTCTGGCCATTCTCCTCTGACCTCTGGCATCAACAAGGCATTTCCGCCCACAGAACTGCCGCTCACTGGATGTTTTTTCTTTTTCGGACCATTCTCTGTAAACCCTAGAGATGGTTGTGCGTGAAAATCCCAGTAGATCAGCAGTTTCTGAAATACTCAGACCAGCCCTTCTGGCACCAACAATCATGCCACGTTCAAAGTCACTCAAATCACCTTTCTTCCCCATACTGATGCTCGGTTTGAACTGCAGGAGATTGTCTTGACCATGTCTACATGCCTAAATGCACTGAGTTGCCGCCATGTGATTGGCTGCTTAGAAAATAAGTGTTAACAAGCAGTTGGACAGGTGTAACTAATAAAGTGGCCGGTGAGTGTATATGCCTACTTTTAATGGTAGGCTTAAAACTTTCCTGTCTGTGAAGGAAGTTTGTCTTTTAAGGCTTGATCATAAAAAGTGATTTTCTACCATGTATGTTTGGACCAACCTGTAGGCGTAAATATTATGAGTGGCGCTGGCAATCTTCTTGTTTTCATAAAGTTTCTCCAACACCATTTTAACCTGAAACACATGTAGAAAAACAAAAAGCCATTTAAAGGAGAACCTAGATCTGCACTGTCAGGACCCAGAGCAGCAGAGCTGCACTGTGACGTCTCCTGTCAGTTTACTCTAAGACAAGCAAAGTAAAAGCCAAGTTTATTCAAAGCCTTTCTCAAGTAAAAGTTAGTGTAAAAAAAAACTCCCCATGAAGTTAGCTTCCTTTCACAAACAAGTGAGTTATGTTGGAAACGTATGCACATGCACAGTTTCACTCCCCATTAAACTCCTATCTGGAATAGTAGATATATGCTACATAGAAATAAGTCTCTGTATTTGGATCGCTAGATGGAAAAGGGCAAGGGAAACTTCTATGCTTTTTTTCTAATAAAACAACATTTCAATTTAAACAGTCTGAGAAGCTTCAACAGCCTCAACCTAAATATCTAAACACAATGTAGCTCCATGAAGGGGGGGCATTTACCATTAGGCAATACTAGGCAGCTGCCTAGGGCCCCAAGTTCCTGGGGGGCCCATAAAACTCTATTTCCATGTATGGTTAATACAACTATTCCTCTTCTGTGCACATTAATTATGTTTTTGATAAAAATCCTTTGGCTAAAATTCCATCAGAATGCTGATAATATTTTTTCTGCTACTGGAGACTTTGGAGACAACATCTAAAAGCAGCGAACTCTGCTCTCCAGAGCGAGTAGATTGGTAACCCCGCCTCCTGCTCTCCTCTATCTTGTCTGCTGTCATGATTCATGCAGCTATTATTTCATCCAAATGAAAAATGGAGAACAGATAAGCAGATCATGGCTTGTCTACAGTGAAAAGAAGGACTGGGTTATTTACTTTGGCCTTTTTGGAAACACAGGAAGGAGCAATCAGCTAAGTGAGCTTAGTGCTTGGAAAAAATCTTTCATTCCTTTAGAGACAGCATGAAAAGTCAGCTGAGTACAAAACATAGAGAGGAAAACAAGAAGAAAAGGGACAAGAAGAGAGGGACACAACCTAGAACAGATGATGGATGTCTATTCTATTAACATTTCTCTATCTGTTTAATGTGTTGTCTTCTCCATTCAGAGGGGCCCTGCCTGTCTTTGCCTAGGGCCCCAAATGTCCTTAATCTGCCCCTGGATCCAAGGTGCTGTGATGCTAACAGATGCTACCATGTTTGTAAATGTACAAAATCTAGTGTTTTAAATTTCTGATTCCTAAAAAAAACAACAGTTGAGCAAATATTATCAAATTTCCTGGTGTTATAATTCAGAGGTGGTTCCAAACCAATGTTTTCCAAGTTACAAATATAAACATCAATTCCCGGGTAAAAGCATGAAAACTCAATATCAAGTCCAAGCGCTCTTCTAAGGACAGGAAATTAACTTAGTTAATGTTTCCTTTTACAATAAAAATAACCATATAAATCAGACATTCTATAAACTGAGGAAATAATGAGGAAACTGGTCTATAATAAAGTAGAAATAAACCTGAATGCTAAAAGACTTCAACAGAAAAACTAATCTATACTTTTTAAGAATTCACATGATTTATTTATCTACATAAAACAATCTTTACTGCAATAACTATGCTGCTGGTCTGCTGCTTAAAGCACAGATTTGCCTTAAAACACATTATAATCAAAGACAATATTCAAGTTAAATAAGAGAAATATGCTGATAATGTTACAAAAGAACTAAACAGCCATCTGATACAAAAGCCAGTGATATGTCATAAAAACCAAAGATCTATTATATTTTATACCATTTCAGATATTGAAAAAAATATATATAGATCTGGTATTAGAAAATGTAGCCGATCCAGGAGGGCAGATCTTTTTTAAATCTATAGAAAATGTAATTTAGATAAAACATTTGTGAACAGCAGGAAAGTTCATGGGCATCAGCCTGTGATTCAATGTGGATTTGATTCCTTACAGCTGCATCCTGGTTTGCAGGATGGAATTTGTATTTTTAACAGTTTATGGTTTTTATAACTTCTTTTTCTGACTGTATTCTCATGTCAGGTGGCCTCTTTCCATATGCACCAGTAAATTCAGACAAATTCAGACAGGTCATACTTATTTATAGACTTTTTGACAGTCATTAGAAACATTTTCAGTAATAAAAATATTGAATAAATCAGAAAAGTATTGAGATTTGCAAATATCAAAATTAAAGTATCAGAATCGGATCAGAAGGGAAAAAATGTGGATCAGTGCATCTCTACCTTCATCTAACTAGCAAAATATATGAAATAAGCTTTGATAAATCCTTTTTATGAGTTTAAACATCGAAGGTTAGAGGTTTTTGCCTCTACAGAACTTTACAGCCATGTTTCAAACAAACAGACATGCAATCAGTTAGAAAAAAGGTGAAAAAGGGTTTGCTGACAATTTAAGCAAAAAAGAAGGTTAAAAAAGCAACGAATGGGAACAATATGAGGGCTGGACGAACTGATCCAGAGCAGTCAGGAGCTCTGCCAACCATCAGCAGGTTGCTTTTTATCTCAGTTTTCAAACAATATGGCTGGAAGGACATTTTCATTTCCACCTGAGGATGAAAAATGAGCCCCGTCGGCTCTACTAATGCTCTACGGCTTTTTAACACCTCCCTGCTTCCCATAAAGTACGTGCTTTTCTTGTTTTTGTTTTCTTTTAAACTTCTTTAGCAGGTTTGTTACTTAACACATTAAGAATATTAGATGAAAGCCATTATTTCAGCTCATAACGCCCCTGCAGGACAGCTGCATCTGTTAAATTGGCCCAATTAGCACTTTGCAGCAGGTGGAAGCTTTTAAGATGAGCTAAGGAGTGAAATTAATATGCAGGAGGATCTTCTCTCCAAACCGTCAGTCGGTTGTATAAATCAGCAGGTTTAGATGTTTTCCGCCCACAAAGAAACAAATTAGTTCCACCTGAATCTTATTTAATATTCTGGTTAGCATATTGTCTTCAGGGTTAAATTTCAGCATTTAAAAGCATTGATGTTCCCCTGCTGTACCTGTGTTGGCGTGACCACAGGCGCCAAATGGGGCTGGAAGGTGCTGCGTCGGTCTGTGATGGGATTCCCATGTTTTATTGGAGGGATCTCTCCATCTACCAGTGGAAAGTTATGCACATAATTATGCAGGATTTTAGAAGAAATGGAGCAGGTGCGGATTTTAGGTAGCCTTACCGTTTGCCTGATTCATGACGGGGTATGCTGGTTCCACCCTGAGAACGCTTAAATCAGGCATTTCTTCATCATCCTCCACTTCTTCCTCAGCGGTTGTGTTCACCTGTTCTTGTTGGATGCCTGAGGAGGCCAACATTAAAAGTAGTAACTTGAATTGGAAATAGAAACAATAAAAATGTCTAAATCCACCCCTGGACTGCAGTAAAGATTGCAGAGACATACCCAAAAGACTCTGAGTGAAAGACAATCCTGGAGTAAATTATGAATGCCACATTTTTTTATTTAAAACCAGGTATTCTTGACTTTCCCTTTCAAAATAAAAGCCTTATATAATAACTGAATCCCAATAAACTGATTTGTGGTTTTATTGAGATAGCATCATTCAAAGTTTTAGTAGCAAATAAAAAAAAAAAAACATAAGCAAAACAAGAAAGATTTTTTCAAAGACTTGAATGGTGAAAGCTAATAATATATTGATTATGTTTATGGTCTCCATGGAGACGAGGTCTAGATATTAAAGAATACATCTGATTTTCTTATGCTTAGCAAGTCCTATAAAAAAATAAAATCTTAGATTTAATTAAAGGTCCTTCCCAGATGTAGTTCTCATCACTGAAGGTGTAAATATTTGATAACGTATTATTTTCATAAACAACTTCCAGCAGAAAAAACAAGTTGAAGTAAACTAAGGTGTGGAATCAACATGCCTCTCATTTTCTTAGAGTATTTTCTCAGCATGAAACGGTGCAAACGTGTGGCTCGCCAAAAGGGTTGCCAAACATTTCTGAAGATAATGAAGGATATTGAGCAAAAGATGCAAACAGAACATAATCATAAAAAGCATGCACCTTTCAGGGAAAGAAAACTCCCTGCTGACACAAATGAGATGTCAGAAAAACAAGACTGCGCCGGACTCTGCATGCAGGACAGGATGCATTTCACTATTATGACTGAAAACTAAAGAAAATACAGACGAATGCATTAATGCCATTCATCAGTCTTCTTAGGTAAATGCTGCTAAAATGTGCAAATCCACTAAAAGAAGAGTGAAAAGCAAAGCTGCAGAGCAGATCCTCCATGTTTACTCTCCTAATGAAAAGCTGGGTGCAGTCTAACACTTTAATCAACACACAGCTCAATAGAAACATATACAGCAGCGAAATCCATTACAGAAAGTGGCTTTCATGTTCTGTTGAACAAATATTAGGTTTTTAATGTTTTGCTTCTGCTCATCATTTTTCTCCAGTGTGATGTCATTCATCCAGACTCAGAGCCCTTCTGTCCCTCGTCTCTTCCAATGTGCCCCGTCATCTCTTCTGCTTTTAATTTCCTTTATTCTGCGGTAAAATGTGCATCCTCAGCCTTATCGCTGCTTCCGTCTCTCTCTCACACCATGTCCCTGTCATTGGAATGAATAAGCCGTCAGTCCCACTGAGGCTGAAGGGCTGTGACCAGTTACACTTATTACCACATGAATCACTGAGAGGACTTATGACACATCACAGCAGGGAGGCGGGATGATATCTCTCCTGGCTTGTTGCTAAAAAGGTATAATGTTCTGCGAGGGTCTAGTTTTAGATAAGTGGGACGGAGGAGAAGAGAGTGACAATAAAAAAATAAAAAATAAAAACCAGCTTTTATTGTGATGCAGAGAAAGGCTGACATCCTGAAACCTTTTAGAACTGTTTTCTAGTGGAAACGGCTTTAGCAAAGCAACTGGGTGCATTACAAAGATACGGATCTTAATTCAGTGCAGTCACTCAGAGCCCTGAGTATTTTTTAAAGCGCTTTGTGTTCATCTTATCACGCTTTTTGATCCTCAGCAGAAAGTTCTGCTGGTAAATAGGAGCGGGATGCAGTAGGGAGATGAATTTAGATGAGGTTTAACCAGCGAGCGGAGAGTTAGATTGATCTAAAGTCGTTATTGAACGTCTAATGAACGGTGGGATTTTTCTGGCCCAGCTGATCTTATATTTGGGTAAACAAAAGAAAAAAATAAACAGAATTTTTTTTATACGCAAATAACAAGAAACATAAAGAAAATGTTTTTTTATAAAGTATAGGGGAACATTTGGCTTCATGTGCAATTGAAAATGTGTAAAACATCTATCTATCTATCTTAAGTACCACCAACCAACCTTAAATAAAATAAATAGATCAATGAAAGTCCAGAAGAATAAATCTAACAAAATGAAACCATCAGCTTTTATGATATTATAAATTATATTTTAATAATCTCAATAAATATAGAGAATAACAGACGGGAAGAGAGGATTTAATGGGTTTCTTGAAGGTTATTCTTGAGTTGTTAGAAAAGACATGGCTAAGGCAGCAGTGCTAACCACTTGAGCAGCCCAGAAGGTTCTGGGTTTGATTCCTGCCCCCGGGGTCTTTCTGCATGGAGATGGCATGTTCTCCCTGAGCATGCGTGGGTTCTCTCCAGGTACTTCCTCCCACTGTCCAAAAACATGACTGTTAGTAGGGGTGTAACTAATAATCGTTTTGTATCGATGCATCGATCCAACAGCCAACGATCCGATGCATCGATACGTCCGCAAGAGAATCCATGTTTTTTTTTCCTCTGGTCTATTTTTATCCATTTGCTCCTGGGCGTAATTCTCCTCCCGTGCTGCAGTGGCGCTAAACCTATTTTGCCCTCCTACCTCGCTTCCTGGTTTACTCTTACAGCAGTGAGCTTGATGCAGACATTTTTGATTTATGCTCAATATTAAAGCGTGGTCTGCGCTACACGCTGTTGGTCTTCCTCGCCGCCCACGGAGGGACATGAGGGCCAAAAAGAGCGGAGATCCAGGTGGAAAAATGGTCCCAGCGTTCTCGCGCACCTCGCTCTTCTAGCGGGTCAAACTTCACGAGTTGTTTTCCGCAATTTCGGTCATAAAACCAAAACAAGCCGTCCTCCTGTCTGCGGCACTGTTTGCGGTCAGCTACAATCTGGGAGAGGAGCAGCGGAGCGTCTGTGGAGGGGGCGGGACGTCTGGAGCCGAGGTATTGCGTTGCACTCATTGCACTGATTATGTGCAGTATTTTTTTATGCAACTTCTGTACTTCTGTCATTTGTTGTTGTTTCTAAAAAAAAAAAAAGCATAACGATATTACAGCTTTCATTGATTTATTTCAAACTTGAAACTTTGTTTAGCCTGTAAGTAAAAAAAAAAACAAAAAACAAAAACAAAAAACAATCGACTTGAATCGTATCGTGGTGTATTCTTGAGTATCGAAAATAATCGAATCGTTGGGTCAGGAAATCGATACTGAATCGAATCGCCATGATGGATGTGATTTACACCCCTAACTGTTAGGTTAAATGGCTTCTCTATATTCTCCTTAGGTGTGAGTGTGAATGGTTGTTTGTCCTGTTTGTCTCTGCGTTTCTCTGCGATGGACTAGAGACCTGTCCAGGGTGAACCCGCCTCTCGCCCGTAGACAGCTGGAGATAGACACCAGCACTAGTGTTGCAACGATACCGATACCAGTATCAGGCGGGCCCCGATCCAGCACTAAAATGGTGGTATCGGCCGATCTTGCACACGTATTGGTATCTGGGCCAAAAAGTGGAATCAGCACAACTCTTACCAGCACCCCTTGCCACCCCAGCAGGGATGAAGCGCAACAGAAAATAAATGGATGAATGGGCTCAAGTATTTATTATTAAAGGTCATAATAATAACTATCTTTTTTTTTTATTTAACGGAATGTAATACATGTAATTCAGTGCCGTTATCCCATAGATCCAGGTCAGATGATTATTTACACTTGGACTGTGCTCCTCTCCTGTGGAACCAACTACCAGTTTTAGTCTGTGAGGCAGACACCCTGTCTACTTTTAAGGCTAGGCTTAAAACTTTCCTTTTTGATAAAGCTTCTAGTTAGAGTGGCTCAGGTTATCATGAGCTATCTCTATAGTTATGCTGCTATAGGCTTAGACTGCTGGAGGACATAGGGACCCCTTTTTCATCATTCTGCTTCATTCTATCTCTATTCTCCCACTCTGCAGAATCTGTTAGTTCAATCTCTAACGTTCTGCTCTCTCTGCTTTTTCTCATAGTAGCTTCATCTGGTCTGTTCCTGTTTGGCTGTGACTCCATCCTGGAGAGAAATATCAGCTGTGCTGCTGCCATCAACACCTTTGTTTCTAGATGTTGGAGCTTGGCCTGTTTTCCAGTGTAGTCCTGTTTCTCTGACGGTGACTAACTGGATGTGCTCTCTTCATCCTCTGACATGGGAGCTGGCTCGGAGCTCGTCTGCCTGGCTGAGTGTTTCCTGGACGGGGCCGCCTGTGGAGCTGGTTGACAGTTGCCTTTTGTATCTATGCTTCTTTTTCTATGTCTGCTTCTGTCTCCTTGAACCCCAGTGGGCCTCAGCAGATGGCCGCTCACACTGAGCCTGGTTCTGCTGGAGGTTTCTTCCTGTTCAAAGGGAGTTTTTCCTCTCCACTGTCGCTACAAGCATGCTTAGTGTGAGGGATTGCTGAAGAGTCAATGAGTCGATGCAATCAGCTGGTTTTCCTTATATAGAAAACTTTGAATCAATCTGACTGGATGATCTGGTGAACTGGAAAGTGACCTGAGATGACATGATGTGAATTGGAGCTATAGAAATAAACTGAATAGAATTGACTAGGCTCCGCCCCCATTACTGCTGGCTTCTACTGCTCCTTAGTGACAAACCAAAGTCTGAGAACATCCATGGCATCTCCCGCTCCACCAGCTCCCTCCTGTCCATACTGCTCTCACATGACTGCTTGCTTCAGGTTCCTCGGAGTGAAATTGGCTGATGACTTTATGTGGAGAGTGAACACCTTCACCCTGGTGAAAAAGGCACACTAACACCTCATTTCTTTAGGAGGTTGAGGCGTACAGAACTGGAGAACTCAGTTCTCACTTCCTTCTACAGTCATGTGATGGATAGCGTTCAGTGCTCCTCTGTCACACTCTGACAAGTCAGATGCTCTGCAGCTCAGGCTCAGGCAATAAGGCAACACTAGGAAGTTGCCTAGGGCCCCAAGTCCCCGGGGACCCGATAAAACTCTGCTTACATGTATGGTTAATATGTAATCAGTGTCCACCATATTGGATCAGTCCATTTGCTGCACATGTTCAGAAAGGTCCAAACAGACAGCAGCAAACCATTTGAAAACAAACCATGCAAAGAGCAGTGTTGCCAACTTAGCGCTTTAGTCGCTATATTTAGCCACTTTTCAGACCCCTCTAGCACTTTGATTTCTAAAAAGCTCCTAGCGCCAAATCTAGAGACTTTTTTCTGCTACTGGAGACTTTGGAGACAACATCTAAAAGCAGCGAACTCTGCTCTCCAGAGCGAGTAGATTGGTAACCCCGCCTCCTGCTCTCCTCTATCTTGTCTGCTGTCATGATTCATGCAGCTATTATTTCATCCAAATGAAAAATGGAGAACAGATAAGCAGATCATGGCTTGTCTACAGTGAAAAGAAGGACTGGGTTATTTACTTTGGCCTTTTTGGAAACACAGGAAGGAGCAATCAGCTAAGTGAGCTTAGTGCTTGGAAAAAATCTTTCATTCCTTTAGAGACAGCATGAAAAGTCAGCTGAGTACAAAACATAGAGAGGAAAACAAGAAGAAAAGGGACAAGAAGAGAGGGACACAACCTAGAACAGATAATGGATGTCTATTCTATTAACATTTCTACATCTGGAGAATGGGGCTGTTTGATGTCTTCTCAGTTCAGAGGGCCCCCTGCCTGTCTTTGCCTAGGGCCCCACATTTCCTAAATCCGCCCCTGCAGGCATCAGCAGCAGAACTACCTCTGCTGGCGTAATATTCAAACTCAGCCCCAATGATTATGTTCTCTTTGTACAAGTTGCTCTTTCTTTATGTGCAACGACTTTAGATTTTATACTTCATGTCATTGTGCTGCAAATATGTTCTTTTATCTTTGCAGATTAATTATGCTATGCTAATTCTCTCTTTTTTTAATTCTTTTTAACTTATCTTGTTTTTCATCTTGCTCTAAACTCATTTCCCACCCATGTAAATGTGAGAGTAAAACAAAACAACATCCTTCATTCCTAATTATAAGCATGAAAAGAATCTGAGACGTGGTTTTTAATTATCTGTTAAAGCAAAAGAGAAAACTAAAGCCTCTACTTGTATTCAAACCTCCCAGAAACACTCGCTACCACCTTTCATTTCAGTTACAGCTGCAAGTCTTTTAGATTATGACTCTTCCGCAGTGTTGTAGTACTCGACATCGGTCTTGGTCTCAAGACCATTTTTTGATGGTCTCGGTCTCGGACGCTGAGGACTCGGCATTTTATTTCAAGACCGGTCAAGACCACAACTGTGGAAATAACGCTAATCATCGGAATATTATCAGTTTCTTTAAGATCCTTTTTATTGGATCCTTGGATTCAAATCCAAGCAATAACCTCATAGTCTCATTGGTAAATGCATGTTTTTTTGTTTTTTACCGCTGTCCCGCCCACCCCCTTTCACCTGCGCGCGGGCTGCAGCACTTCGATTGAAAGTCACAAGTGGTTGTCTGAGAACGGGATAAAATGTCGGCCAAATCATCGGTTATAAAATTCGACTAATTAAATCACAAATATATTTGTAAAGCAACAGAGAAAAAAGCATACAGCCTAATGTAAGTTCTGCAGTTAGCACTTCTGCCTTTTGTCCATGTTCCCAGTGCTAACTAGAGAAATACACCGCTTGGTCAAAAACAAACCATCTGATCAGCAACAGGGTCTTAGAACTGACGGCTTTTGGGAGATCAAATTTTTTTTCAACAAATTATCTGTCTCATAACATATTTTCACAACTTGGTGACAGATATAGATTTATTTAAGAAAAGTTATATAATATAGCTTTAATCTGTATATGAGAGAGAAACAAGAGAAATTATTTTTTTTAGTTTTACACATGTTTTGAAATAGCACAGTTAAAAACAACATAAATGTTTGTACAGTTCATGAAACGCAGAGAAAATACTATTTTGATCGACTTTGATTAATTGTTTGAAATTCTGTGATTACTACAAAGAAGTACTAAATAAAGATGTTAATGTTTAGTCCAGTTCTGTGTGTTAAATATCTAGGTGTTTTTATGTGAATGTGGGTCTTTTAGATCAATTTTTGATCATGTTTCACATTTTATTGTCACATACTGGCGCTGGTCTTGACTCGGTCTCGGGTTAGCTGGTCTTGACCACAACACTGACTCTTCCAGCTCTGCATATCTACAGACTGAAATTAATTCTGCCTAACAAAAAAGTAAACAATGGTTTTTGTTTTAGCTCTATTTTCAATTAGTTTCAGTTGTGGACTTTGACTAGACCATTCCACCTTGGTTCTAACTCTAGATCCAGGCTTGTCCTGCTGGAAGATGAACCTCCGCCTTAAATGTGATTATAGGGGAGTTAGTCAAAGGAGCTCCAGTTTGATCAATACAGGTTTATGTTAGCAGGGTAGGACATGGAACAACTGTGTTAAAGTAATTAAATGTGATTTAGCAAATGCCAAAAGCATTTTTTCAGTGTACTTTTAACTGAGAGTGGAACTTATGGTGAGAAATAAATGCTCAAAGGAGAACGGGTGAAAAAAGGTTGGGAAACACTGCTGTCTAGTACTAAACGTGTTCGCCATGATCCCAGCCATGCTTGGTTTGCTTTGGTTTCAGGTTTACTGCCCAGAAACCAGTCAACTGGTACTAATATTTGCAAGCAGAAAATGTGGTGGATAAAGGAAGCTGAGGTCATTATGAAGTGCTTAACGACCTGTGGCTCATTCCTCACACCTCACCTGATTCTAGGCTGTGGGATTTCTCCAGCAGAAAGTCTCTGATCCTTTCCACCCACAGGTACAGGATGCTCTCCCCTGCATGCTCCCTGTTGGAAATGAAAGAAGAGGCCTGTGAGGGCGGAAGCTCTAATTCACACTCTGAGCGGAGACGCTGCCCGGCGGAAAGGATAATGAAAGCTTTTGTTGTGAAGTCAGATATTATGAGAAGCACTCACACGTAGATGTCTTCCAGGCTGTTTGCCAATTTGGCCCTCTCAGAGCCTCGCAACCACGCCGCACTACAAAAGCCCAGAACAAACACAGGGTTATGGAGTGGGATGCGGAGTGCGCTTTGGAGTGGGACGTTGTTCTTTCAAATCAGCACATCTCCCTCATATTATATCTGAAAGGCAAATAGACTTACTTGATCTGATAGATGGGCGGAGCTGCGCTCGGATAATCAGGTGGAAGGATTATCTGATCAGCGAGGGAAAGAAAGAAAGAAAGAAAGAAAGAAAGAAAGAAAGAAAGAAAGAAAGAAAGAAAGAAAGAAAGAAAGAAAGAAAGAAAGAAAGAAAGAAAGAAAGAAAGAAAGAAAGAAAGAAAGAAAGAAAGAAAGAAAGAAAGAAAGAAAGAAAGAAAGAAAGAAAGAAAGAAAGAAAGAAAGAAAGAAAGAAAGAAAGAAAGAAAGAAAGAAAGAAAGAAAGAAAGAAAGAAAGAAAGAAAGAAAGAAAGAAAGAAAGAAAGAAAGAAAGAAAGAAAGAAAGAAAGAAAGAAAGAAAGAAAGAAAGAAAGAAAGAAAGAAAGAAAGAAAGAAAGAAAGAAATAGGGTTTTAGAAAGAACCGAAAGCAAAAACACTTCAGATTCATATGCAGGATTTTTATTTTTTTTGCTTCTTTCTCCACCTGCAAACATGCAGTCAGTTTCTGCTCCTCTGCGTCGCTGGACATTTTGATGCAAAATATTCTGGATGCTTCGTCTATGACACACCACTCATCTCCATAGATAGATGACAGAGCCTCGACCTCTTCGATCTGAGTGAGAAGAATCAAATTAGACAGAAAAAACAAGCCTTCTAAGAGCCTTGACATTTTAATCCCTCCTAAACCCCCAAACTGATAACAGAATTTCAACAAGAGAAACAAAGAGGTCTTCAAATCCTCACAGTACCTCTGACACCACATCATCACTGTTTGGATGAGTGAGGTTCTTCTATCCTCACTCATCTAGACCAGCAGATAAAACATTTGCATAACATCTAATATGCAACTAGTTAGAGAAAACCAAGAAACTAACACGACCTCAACCCTTTAGGGCTTTCAGTAAAATACTTTGGATACTTTCAAACCAATAAGGTTTTTGTAATCCAGAACGAGAACTTATTGCCTTTGTAACATTAAAAAAATCTGGATATTTTGATGGAAATAATTAATGTCAATGTAATAAGAAATATATATGAATATATTAAGAAAAAAAACAAAAGTGCTTCTATAAGGAATTCATGAAAAACACTCTGAGAGTGAAAGAAAGATATTTTTTGGTTAAGGACATTTTATTGACTATTATGACATCTAAATACAACATTTTTTGTTGCTGTTTGTTAAATCGAAAATGATTCTGTAAAATGGCAAAAACCATTGGTCAAAAAACATTTTTATCCTTATCATTTAAAAATCAAAAGAAATTAAAAGTCTACTATGTGTAAATCAATTCTATTCAGTTTATTTCTATAGCTCCAAATTCACATCATGTCATCTCAGGTCACTTTCCAGTTCACCAGATCATCCAGTCAGATTGATTCAAAGTTTTCTATCTAAGGAAAACCAGCTGATTGCATCGACTCATTGACTCTTCAGCAATCCCTCACACTAAGCATGCTTGTAGCGACAGTGGAGAGGAAAAACTCCCTTTGAACAGGAAGAAACCTCCAGCAGAACCAGGCTCAGTGTGAGCGGCCATCTGCTGAGACCCACTGGGGTTCAAGGAGACAGAAGCAGACATAGAAAAAGAAGCATAGATACAAAAGGCAACTGTCAACCAGCTCCACAGGCGGCCCCGTCCAGGAAACACACAGCCAGGCAGACGAGCTCCGAGCCAGCTCCCATGATGAAGAGAGCACATCCAGTTAGTCACAGTCAGAGAAACAGGACTACACTGGAAAACAGGCCAAACTTAAAAGGAATCAATATAAATGTGAAAGGAATCTTTCTTCTCTGAAATCATTAACAAGAACATTAATAATACTCGTGCGTTATTTGCCACAGTCGACAAGCTAACAAATCCTCCTCTGTCCGTGGCTCCTGAACTCCACTCCACCCGGGCCTGCAATGAATTTGCTAATTTCTTTACTGAGAAAATCCTAAAGATCAGAGGATCAGTTTATACATCCATATCAAGTTCAGTACCAAAGTTTTCTCCAAGTGGAATTGATCTTGACCAAATGTCCCAATTCAGCCAAATAAACTATAAAAGCTTAGAGGAAATCATTCAGCAGCTAAGTTCCTCCTCCTGCTGCCTTGATGTTCTACCCACAGCTTTCTGTAAGAAAGTTTTGCCTGTCATAGCGTCTGATTTTACTCAGATAATAAACATGTCCCTTCTGTCAGGTGTTTTCCTGCAGTCCCTAAAAACAGCAAATATCAAACCACTGCTGAAAAAGAACAGTTTAGACAAACTACTACTCCAGAACTACAGGCCCATATCAAACCTTCCCTTTATCAGTAAGATTATTGAAAAAGCTGTGTTTCAACAATTAAACACTTTCTTAGATATGACCAGCCGCTTTGACGTGTTCCAGTCAGGTTTCCGTGCTCACCACAGTACAGAGACCGCCCTTATCAAGGTGTTTAATGACATCCGTATAAATACAGACTGCGGAAGAACCACAGTGCTGGTGCTATTGGACCTCAGTGCAGCATTCGATACTGTAGATCACTCCATCCTGTTAGAACGCCTGGGAAACTGGGTCGGCCTCTCTGGTACAGCTCTCAACTGGTTTAAATCCTACTTAAAGGACAGGGACTTTTTTGTGTCAGTAGGCAACTTTACATCAGAGATGGCAAAAATCACATGTGGGGTTCCCCAAGGGTCCATCCTGGGTCCCCTCCTATTCAATATCTACATGCTCCCTCTTGCTCAGTTAATAAAAAACAACAACATCAGCTACCATAACTATGCAGATGACACACAGCTTTACATCACCATGTCACCAGGTGACTATGAACCAATTCAAGCACTGAGGAAATGCTTAGAAGAAATCAATGCCTGGATGTGCCATAATTTTCTTCAACTGAATAAAAACAAAACTGAAGTAATAATCTTTGGACCAATAGAGGAGAGATCTAAAGTTAGCACAGAGCTTCAGTCACTTCAGCTAGTAACCACTGATCAGGCCCGAAGTCTAGGTGTTGTACTGGATTCAGACTTGAACCTCCAAAAGCATTTAAAGACAATTACAAGGTGGGCTTTCTATCACCTGAAGAACATTTCCAGGATTAAAGGACTAATGTCTCAGCATGATCTGGAAAAACTAATCCATGCGTTTATTTTTAGTCGAATTGATTACCGCAACGGTGTTTTCACAGGTCTGCCTAAAAAGTGGACAGACAGCTGCAGCTGATCCAGAACGCTGCTGCCCGTGTCCTCACTAAGACTAAGAAAGTAGAGCACATCACCCCGGTTCTAAAGTCCTTCCACTGGCTCCCTGTATCTCAGAGAATAGACTTTAAAATCCTTCTGTTAGTCTATAAATCTCTGAATGGCTTAGCAGCTAAATACATCACAGACTTGCTATCAGTGAATCAACCCTCCAGACCACTCAGGTCTTCTGGCTCCAGCCTGCTCTGCAGACCTAGAACCAGAACTAAACATGGAGAAGCAGCATTTAGTTCCTATGCTCCACTTATCTGGAACAAACTTCCATAAAACTGTAAAAGTGCGGAAAGCCTGAGTTCCTTTAAATCAAGACTAAAAACACATTTGTTTAGGATTGCCTTCACTGTTCTGGTTAAACAGTTCAACTAGAACATCATTAGTTCAACTTTTTTATTTTCTTTAGTCCAACTGTTTTAAATTTTTTGGTTTCTGCATTTTTTTTCCTACTTGCTTTCATTCTGTTTTATTTTCCTATATTTTAATAATGTAAAGCACATTGCGTTGTCTTTGTACTGAATTGTGCTATACAAATAAATTTGCCTTGCCTATAACCTGAAAGGAATCTATATAAACTTGAAAGGAATCAAAATAAACTTACCTGAGATTGCAGATCTTCATCATCCTCGTTATGTATACTATCTGCCATGAATGAATCTTATTGAACAAAGCATTCTAGGAACAGCAGTTATTTAGTGTTTAAGCCACATTACAGGCAGGGATCCCCTTGGTGAGAGGAGAGTATCCTGGGAGAACTACTTCCGGGGTAAAGCGGCTTCACACGGGGGGGATCTGTGCTGACTTCCGGTAATTACTATCCCCTTTTGATAAAAAACAAAAAAAACAAAACAGCATTTAAACAGAGTATACTGTACTTAGAGTTTACCTTTTCCAAAAATAAATATATTATTAACGACTTCGATTCACGGTTGTCTAGTCTTTAAATTACATGTCTTTTATTTTGAAGGGCTGCACCAGCTGATTTCCGCCTGGCGCGGATCAGCTGATCTGAGTGTAAACAGGCAGCAGGTCATGTGTGAGAAGCAGAGTCACGTTGTTCTCTCTGTGTTCCGTCAAAGCTGACGGACACAATCAATGAGAAGTGAGGCTTGGTGGGTCGGAGACAGAGCGGCATGTGTCGGAGGATCTGCCCCGCGCTGTGCGCGCTGCTGTAGGGCAGCAAGAGGCGCACCGCACCGCAGGGGCCCGGAGGGGCTCTCAGCGTCCTGTGGTGGGCCCCTGCAGGGAGAGCAGCTGGATATTTACTCACGGGACGTGGAGGTTGTAAGTCTGACTTTTTATTGGCTTTTACTTTATTTACATTCTTTGGGTATCAGAGAAAATCCCACTAAAAGGAAAACTAGGTGGATAAAGTTTTACAGCAGGTAGGTTTTTATGTCATATAAATATTAAAGTAAATAAACCTCTGTTCTAATTGCTCCATTTTTGATTTTGGTTATTTTAAATTAAATAGATTAAGCATTGAGCAGGGTAAAGCATGATTTATATGCTTCAATACTGTTAAATAAAACTTTTCACCGACTGAGCAACTATTTCAAAGGGTCACAATAATGTGTGACTTTCCTTAATTAGCTATTGAGCTGGATTTAATTGATCTAATTCATACAGGAGCAGTTAATAATCATTGTCATCTTGATGTAAAAGTCATTCAAATTCAGTTATATAGAATTATACACAGACATCCATCTGATATTTGCTTTGCTACATGTTGTTGGTTGTATTTTTGGTACCGTGCTGTAAAGTTCAGTTAAAATGTTGAAATTTAAAACTTAATCTGAGTCACTCGGTTATTGCACAATGTCGTTGACATTGCAGCAACCTCTCCCTCCCTACATGCATGTAGTGACAGGAGCAACTTCCAACAGGAAGAAAAAATGCAGCAGAAAGTGAAACAAAGAGGAATAAATACAGGTTTGTTTTCTGGGAGCTTTTTAGTGAAAAAAAGGAATCTTGTGTCCAAGAAGGAGAGGAAGTTAAACCCAGGATCATAAGATCTATTGCAATGATGTAAAATATATCAGATAGATCCCATTTCCTGGTCCCTTATGTATCTGCATGTCATCTAGGAATCTAAACTGAAATCAGAGATAAATAACTACTTTAATAATAAGTAATCTATTTAATGTAGATGTTAGTACATGTAAATATTCATTTTATGCTGAATGAGTATTAATAAATGTAGGTTATTAATGATAATGAATAAGATGTTTGCCCCAGAACTAAAATCTGAAAGAATTTTGTCCACTGCACTTTTAATTTAGGCAGCATGGATGTTTAAATATATGCGTCTATTTGTTAGCAAAGGCTGCAGGAAAGTATAGTTTGTCTTTATTTAGAAAATATGGATGTTGTGATTGTTCATTTTCCTGTTGGAACCGTGTAGATTGACCCTGAGGTTCTGGCGTCTATCCGCTTTTGGCCCCCCCTCAGTGTACATTGGTTATTGCCTGGCCACCCTGATAAAAAATTTTCTGGCTACGCCTCTGCTGTACAGTACTTTATTTTGCTTTTCTGTTTTCAAGATATTCGATCACCCATTCATAAATACCTTCACGTGCTGACATATGCCAAGTTGTGTTTTGGATGATCTATTATTGTTTATAAATCGGAAATGACAAATTATCTCATTTATTCATAACATGCAATGAAATGCATCTCGTATTTAGAGACTCCAATTGCAAATAATTGAGAAACAAATTAATATTTACTGCTCTCAAGGTTGGTATTTGGTAAAGTAATCAGAGCATAGCAGGTCGACATTCCAACCACTCTGAATGCAGAGCTGCCAGACTTTTCGTTAGCGCAGACAGAGCATCTGCACAGGTTAGCATGAGATTGGATGATATCATTATTAGGTGGGAGCAGTGAAATGTACCCGGTCTGTTGCACAGCTTTGTAATTGTTTATCATTTCGTATTATATACGGATAATTTAAGTTATACTCTGGTTTCTAGAGGTTTAATACTTTTTTACTGCTATGGCAGGGAAAGCGATCTCTGGTGTATTTGGAGAAACACAGTAGCACCTACCCTTCTCCCAACTGTTGCTGTTTGATACCAGTCAGCTGGCCTGGAAAAAAAGGATGCTTTGTTTTCCTAGTACATTAGGAAATATTAGTTCAGCTGTTTGGAAATACTGATCACTAAAAGAGACGGTTATGTAATATATTCATTGGTCTGAAGGTTTAAGACATAACAAAGCTACATTCTGCACATTTCTTTGAGCGAGAGCTCAAACACCAAACTTCCTTGTTTTTCACAGCCAACACTAAAAGAAAAAAGTCATGGCATATTACCAATTATTAAAATAAGTATGTTTATGAGTGTATTGCTTAAACACTTCATTTATTTGCATGTTTGCAATGCAGGTGAAAGATAGCTGAAAAATGAAAATAATGCTAATAATGAAATAGATAAAAAAAAAAAACAGAATTTCTGATCAGTGTAAGCATTCATTGTCCAATAATGTAAATCTATTAATAGCGGGGGATTTTCCAGCTGTTTTCTTATCTCTGATGAACTCTAAAGATAGAGACAGAGAAACGTCTCAAGTCACCTGCTTTTATATCCCAGGTAAACCTGTTTTTCAGCCACATGAAAATTCAAGCTGCAGCATTTTTAATAGTCTTTGGTCGACTGTGTGATTTATTGATCCTTTTTTGAAGCCACATGGTGAGATCGCCTTGTGAGTCCTTTCAATTCTTCATGTGTCTTTTTAGCACCAATCATTTGATCAGAGATGTAGTGTCATGTGTGTATCCTTTAGCCTGGTTTTAGGGGAAACAGGAAATCTGTCTCTTTCCAGTAAGGCACAGATAGGGAATGCCTTCTTAAACAAAAAAAACGAATCTACATTTACTTCTCCTTGCTTTCTCAATTCCAGAGAAAACAAAAGGCCTTGTGACTTGTTCGTCACATGACCTGCATGCTGCCGGGTTGAGTAACATAAATAAACGAGTCCGTACAGCAATCTTCAAATGTCTGCTGGTTTTAAAAGATTCATTTCAGGGTATTTGAATGAAAATGTATTTCAGTGTCTGAAGATGTGTTTTACTTTTTTTGAGTGTTTACGGCACTAGTGGCTCATTTGGGGGATCGGGGGGGACATGCAGCAAAGGACCACAGGTTGGATTCACCCCGTCTTTTACTTTCTAATTGAGATAAGCCCCTCAACTGTCCCATAAATGCATCACTAACAGCTACTTGTTTGTAGTATTTTGTCACGTTTAATCCCAGTTGGGGTAGCGAGGGGTCCTGGTGCCCATCTCAAGCTGTCTACGGTGAGAGTCGGGGTCCACCCTGGACAGGTCTCCAGTTCATGGCAGGGAAACAGAGAGACAAACAACAATTCACAGTCACACCTAAGGAGAATTTAGAGAAGCTTTGGGAGGAAGCTCCATGCAGAAAGAAGGAATCAAACCCGGAACCTTGCTGCTGCAAGGCGGCAGTGCTACCCACAGCCTAGTACTCCTTCAACCCTACTAAAAATCTAATAAAAGAAAAGGGAATATACTTTGACAGTAGGGATGCACCATATTGGGATTTTGGCCGATATCCGATATGCCGATATTTTAAAACTCATGTAGCCGATAACCGATATCGATACCGATGTTAAAGCTGGACAAAAATAAGTAGTCATTGAAAATAGCAGTTTTGTTATCCATTTCTGACACTTTGAAAAATAATAAACTCAAATATATTTTCATACGCTGATATCAAATTGATTTTTAAAAACGCGGTATCGATCTATTTTACTTTCAAAATCTCGTGAAATTTCATCGTTCTGTTACAAACTCTCGTGATATTTTGCAAGTTCTTGTGAGATTTTGTTAGTAAAATAGATCGATACCGCATCAATATATCAACATATAAAAATATGGCAACATTTGGTGAATTTTCGGGGGATTTCGTAGCATAACGATGACATATAGCAATATTTCATTAGTAAAAGAGATTGATATGGTGTTTTTAAATGGCAATATATCAGCATATGAAGATATTGGGATATTTTAATGGATCAATATTTTTTCCCTCGTCTTTAGAAGTTCTTAAGTCTGTAAAAAAGACGTTTTTGAGGAAGAAGAAGAAGAATTTTTTTAGACTTTAGAAACTCAGAAGCTGATCAAATATCGGGTTAAATATCGGTGGGGGGGCCGATGTCCGATATTCAGTTTTAAGGCCGATACCGATAGGGGGCCGATTATATCGTAAATATGTCTGTCTTCTAGGAGCTGCAGCACAAATATATCTATATTATATTTGCAGAAAACACCAGAATAGGTGAAAAATCTCAATTAGTAATTCAAGACCTCAAAGGAAACTAAAAATGAGCACTCTGGGTAAGTGGTGATTGGTTCTTCTCTAACTGTTGGCACCTTTTCACAGAAAGCTGAGTGGCTGTACACTGTTCCTGTTTAATTGCTTTATCATCTTTGCTTGGCTTGTTCTGACATCACTTAACCTGAGCAGTCGCCGTATCCACTCTGAATCACCAACTACTCTAAGGTCTAGTTATTTTCTAGCTGCTAAAGCTTTGTAAAACTTTGATCCTGGAGTACAACAGCTGACAAAGGAATGAGGTGATGTGCTGCTGCAGCCACCCAGGCTCAGATCAAAGCAGCCTGGCTGAGCTGCTGGGGCTGCACTTAGAAAGAGCTGAGCAGAAACAAAAGCAGCCACATATGGTGGCTTACTGCTGCTTCTTTATAATGAGGGGTTTAGAATCCAACAAAAACAATGAATGATGCG